CCCCAAAACCCCAAAACCCCAAAACCCCAAAACCCCAAAACCCCAAAACCCCAAAACCCCAATTTTAAGTTCTTGCTGGAAGAATATAATTTAAATTTTAAAAGAAGGATGAGCCAAGACGAACCATTCTGGAAGACAACTAAGAATGAAGTAATGAATCTATCACAAACTAGGTATGTTGTCAGACGCTTAATAATGATAAACCAGCGATCTCTTGGATGCCTGTCTATAATAGATTACTACTATTCCTGAACATTCTTATATGGGAATAATTTGAACTCAGAATTTTACTAAAAATGGAGCTAATTTCTTCGAAAATAACCTTAGTTTTTCTATAGCCCTGAAGAAATGAGCCAGGAGAAGTTAGCAGTTTCCATAGGTAAATCCCCTAAAGAAGAAAGCAAGGAGGAAACTAAAGGAGAACCTGGTGGCACAGGCTCCCCTTCAAGGTCTAAAAAGATGTTGAGCGGAAGCCCTGTTGATAATAAATCTGAACCTGATAGCAAAGAAGAATCTCCGGATAATCCTCATAAATATAATCCTAAAGTTAGCAATATTAGTGCTAAAAACAAGGATGAAGCTCATACTGAGGAACTACCCCAGCAGAATACAATGGAGGTTAGGTTAGACCCCTCTGATCGCATAATAAAAGAAGACCAATCTGAAAATACCCAACCTGAGCAATCTGAAGAGGAACAGGAGAGAGAAGAACCTGAGGAAGAGACTGAAAATGAGTCCGACCCAGACTTTGGGAGAGACAACTCTGATAATGACAAGAACATAAACAATATTCTTGTTGAAGAGATTAAGGGAGATATCCATCCTCGTTATGAATCAGAACCAGAGTCATCTGAAGAAAGCTTAAGTAGGTTTGGAAGGAAAGAGGAAGCACCTGCTGAAGATGTAAAAAGAGAGCAAGTATATGCAGCAGATAGAAGTGAGGAGGATGCTCAAAGTAGCCACAGAGGAAATCCAGCATCTGCTTCTGCAGGTGAAGATTGTCAGTCAAACCAAAGTTTTGGAAGAGAAGATCCTATAAGCCATGTTGAGGTCTCAAACCAGGACCAAGACATTAAAGATTTCAAAGCAGCTCTAACTCTAAAATATGAAAGCTTTAAGAGATCAGTAACGAAAAAGTATGAAGAAATCCGCCTTGAGTATCTGAGGAACATTGATTTCAAAATTAAAGAAAATGAAAGAGAGAATGCTTCTGCTATAGATTTCCTTGAACAGCAGTTAGAAGAGGCGATCAATGAGAAAGACTCTGCTATAAAGAGAGCATCCCAGTCCAGAATTATCCTTGCTAATACTTTAAGAGAGAAGTATAATACCCATTACTTAAAGAGAGCTTGCTTCCAGTCATGGAAGTATTATTACGAGTGGAAAAAGTACAAGGAAGCCAAGTCTAAGTTCTGTGACAATTATTTTAAATAAAAGATCACTCATGAAGTTCTTCAATGGGTGGAGAAGAGTCACCCATGATGAGTTCATAGAAAGAGCCTTCAAAATTAGAGATGAGTACGAAGCTAGAAAGAGGAAGATCGTCTATGACGTAGACACTAAGATCGAGAACCTTAATGTATACCTGCTCCAATTAAAAGACAAGATTGAAGAAGAAACTGGCCTGACGATTGAGATCCCTGAGGAATATCTCTATTCAACAGGTCTTGAGAGAATTAAGGATGAAACTGATGTGCTGAGGAACACAGAGTTGCTTGATGAAATCAGAATCACTCAGACACAGAAAGTATTTCAAGCATAGAATTGTAAATTCATAGTTGCTTATTTTCAAAAGATGCTCTATTTGCCGGGGTTTTGGGGTTTTGGGGTTTTGGGGTTTTGGGG